TTTTATCAAGCGTTCGATCTATGCCAGTGTTTCAAGCACTTTTCACATATAATCACTCACTCCTCGTGACAGCCCTACAGAGGGTCACATGACCACATCCCGTTTTATTTACGAGAAGACACGCGGCATGGACGGGTTAAGTGCCCTGCCCAAGGTCACAGGGGGCAAAAGGATGTCTGCTCTGAAGCACCTGTGCTCCAAACACTCCAGGAAACAAGGCTCCCAGCTCCTTCCGACCCCTAAGTGTGAGACTTCCCATCCAGCTGCTCTCTTCTCTTCCCTCTGGCCCAGCAGTTTTCAGGTCTGGCTGCCAACCCAGGGCCATTACATGAGACTACGGGGGGCGGAGGTGCAGGCATAAGTTGTTGTTACAGCTGCCCCCGACCCCCGGAGACGTAAGTGGCAGCCAGAGCCCCAGATGCAGACCCTTGACTAGATCTGCTCCCAGCCCCACCCAACACCCCAGGAATCAGCTGCAGCCGGGGCCCTGCCAGGGCGGCGAACTTACAATCCGAAGCGAGGGTCCTCACTCTAGGCTCACCCTCCCCACCCTCATCCTCGCCGTGGGCACCTGAGCGTCCCCTGTGGGCCACACGTCATGGCCACCTGACTCACTGAGCCTCTCTTCTCCATTCTCCTTGGCTCAGCTGACCCCTCACCCCTTCACGCACCCTTGCGGTGTTTTAGGAAGGCAGCCCTGCCTGGAGGCGGAGGGATGGGAGAGGTGGGAGGCCAACAGGAGGTAGAAACAACTGCAACAGTACCGGTGTGAGTGGGTAATGGCTGTGGCAGAGGGGCTCAATTTTTTTTTAGTGTTTTCTTTATTTCTGGGAGAGAGTGCTTGAGCATGCACTCCTGTACGGGGGTGGGGGAGAGAGTGAGACAGAGAATCCCAAGCAGGTTCCACGCTGTCAGTACAGAGCCAGACGCCGGGCACCATCTCACAAACCCTGAGATCATGACGTGAGCCGATATCAAGAGTCAGATGCTTAACGGACCGAGCCACCCAGGTGCCCGAGAGGGGCTGAATTCGAAAGGCATGTAGGAGTCCCGAATGACTGAGCTGATTAACGCAGGATGAACTTGGAAGGAGGCCCGGCTAGGCTACCCACCCACACCGGAAAAGAAGAAAGGTTTGGAGCCTTGGAGCCCCGGAGTTTGTCCGGAGAGGCGCTAGGTCACTTACCACTCACACACACGGAGTGCCAGCCCCCTGCAGCCACCTCAGCCATGGGTACGCCCTGCAGCGCCTCCAGCGGCCTCGGCTCCAGCTCGGCCTCCAGAGTCCCGTGGCCCAGCTGTCCATGCCTGAGCAAGGGAGACCCCGGTCAGGTCTCCCCTTCCTTACCGCAATCACACTCGGCTTGCCCCCACACGGTCACCTCCCACGCGGAGCCACGTTTATCTGCCCCCGCCCCCGCAAGAGGCCCACGGGCCACACCTGGCCACGCCCCCCACTCACCGGCCCTGGCCCCAGGAGAACACCTGGCCCGCCTCGTCCAGCAGCAACGCGTGCTCGGCGCCCAGCTCCAGCCGGCGCGCCCGCAGCTCGGGGGCCAGAGGGCTGTAGAAGGGCGGCCGCGGACTCACGTAGGCCCGCCCGCAGGGCAACAGGGGCAGGGCCCCGGCCTGGGGCTCACCGCCCGGTGCGTCTTCCCCCTCGGCCTCCGGCCCCACGCTGTGGGCCCACAGGGGCTCTCCGCTCAGCGCCGAACCCGGCGCCCAGGCCTGCAGCTCCGTCCCGGACCCGCGTCCCGGCCCGGCGCGCAGCACCACGAGGAGCGCCTCCGAGGCCCACGCGTCCCTGCAGCCGCCCGCCGCGCAGCCCGCGGAGCCCGACAGCTCCAGCCGGCCTCCACCTGTGGGGACGGAGAGGGGGCTGGGGAGCGGGTAGGCCACTCACCCGGGGTCGTGACCGGATGGGGGAGCGCGGTGGGGGGGACGCTCACGGGTCACGAAGGCGGTGTAGCTCCAGCTCGCGCTCACGCGGCAGACGTCCGCGCCCTCGCCCTCGCCCGGGGTCTGCAGCGGCTCGGGGCTGTGCACCTGGCGCCCGCGCCCGGAGCCCAGCGCCTGCCCGAAGCCGCAGAAACCGAAGCCGAACCAGGATCCTCGGCGCTCCTCGGCCATGCCCGGGCGGCGCCCTCTGCTGGCCGCCACCTGAATGGGGTGGGCGGCGGGACAGGGTTAGGAATCCTACCAGATTCAGGGGCTGCCGAGAATGGAGGCACTTTCCCTGTCCTCCCTTGGACTCAAGCAAGCTCGGCGTCGCCCAGAGTGGGCACCAGGTATTTAAGTGGCCTCTCCCTTAGACGTTGGCCTAGGATCTGAGCACCTCCAGCTCCAAATTCCCAGTGTCAGGCACGTTATCCCGTGTAATCTTGGGAACCAGAATTCCCATTTGACAGAGGAGACTCCCAGAGAAAGTAGCCTTTACAACCACACTGTGCTCCTCCCACCAGCGCAAAGCGGAGCGCTTGGGAGACAGTGCCCTGTGCAGGTTACAACCAGCTCCAGGGTTCACACGTTTGCCTCTGCAGGTGGCCGTGTCTGTGTCCTTGGCCAATTAAGCTCTCTGAGTCCGATTCCGTTTCTTCCGTTTTACAAAAGCAAGGGGTAGGAAAGGGCGCTGTCTGTACCTACCCCGTCTGCGTGGAACAGATGGAAAAACGGGTTTAAGTACTGGCACATATCACGATAGGCACAAGGGAAGTATTGGTTTATTAAATCCAGTACTTAGAGTGGATTTAAAAAAGACCAGTGGTACTGGTTTTCCAGGGACCTATGTAACAATAATTTCAACTGGACCTCACCTAGTCATTTATTCGTTCTACACGGGGCCGATAAGACAGCTGTCTGTCCCCGAGGAGCTCACACATAAAGGGGAGACAAAGCCACAGTTCAGTGGTTACAAAAGCAACGCCGCTTCTTCCGTACAGCATGCTCGGCCTGATGAGAATTTCACATTTTCAAGCGTTGTAAGTCAGCTACTGGGTCCCTCCTGCAACCAAACCTCCTTGACCCGGACCTGGGCTCCTAATCCCTTCCGTGTAGTCCCAACCCAAGGGAGTCTCTGACCTCGTTCCTGACCCTATGCCCTCCATCCTCTCGGGCAGCTCCTTCCGACCAGCACTCTAGAGGGAGGAAAAGCAAAAGCGGGGGAGCAGGGCAGCCGTCCAGGAACGGCTTGCCAGGCCCTGGAAGGACCCGGCTGACAGCCGCCGCGGAGGAAAGGTTTGAAGAGCCGCGCCCCGAGCGAGGCGCCCATTGGCTGCCGCAGCCTCCCCCGGCCAATCGCCGGCGATGAAGGTGACGTCCCGTTCGGGGCGGTGCTCACCTCGCCGGCCGCGGTCAGCGCTGCGGTCTGTCCAGCTCGAGTTCCGTCAAGCCGGCCCCGGGGCTTGCGCTGGGCCGCTGCGCCCTCAGTGTGAACGAGGTAACCTCCGGTGGGCGCGGGCCCGAGGCAAAGGTCGGGTCGGACGGCCCCGCCCTACGCAGCCACGCGCGGGGCCGCGGAACTCGGGTCAGAATCCAAGTCGAAGGGCTGGCGAGGAGCCACTGCGGAGACACGTGCTCCCTGTCATTCCCCTCACTCCGGGACCGCGGCAGCTCACCCACATGCGCGGAACCGATGCCCGACAGGAAGCAGCCGTACTAGGCGGGAGCCTCGGCGAGCTTAACCTTCCATTGGCTCGGGACCTGTCACTCATCTGTGTGAACCAATGAGCCTCAGTCTGGGCTCCCAGAACGGAAGCAGGTTTCTCGCGGACTGCCCGCCCCGGCAGGTCAGGGAGCTCTTGCCCTCACCTGTTTCAGGTAAGGGTTTTTTCCAGGAGGGAAGAGCATGCCCCGAGGACACACCCACCCCAAATCCAGAGCAAGGCCCGAGTGGAGGCCACTGGGAAGTCTCAATACAAAGACAAAAATATTGAAGGGGCAGCATCTAGGAGTCCAAACCCATTTATTCCCAAGCGACGGAACAGATTTTTATTAGCTTCCTAGGTTTACCCCTTGACCCTCGAGCAGAATTAAAAAGCAACTCAGCAGGCTCCAGGGTGGAGAAGCCATTGGATTCCCTCCGTCCAGGGGGCTGTGCTGTGTAGCTCCGCTGTAGACTCAACCAGGCCTGGCTCACAGCCAGCCCTCCCTGCCTCGGGACAGGGCACACATTTCACTTCCTATACTTAGAGGGTCGAGGCAGTCCCGCTAGCAGGCTCGGGAGTTGCTCCCAGCTGGTGAGGCTGCTTGACGCGCCCTTTCCCAATGCCGGGAACCCACAGGCTGGGTTAGGATGCACCTTCCCCATTCCCAGCTGTCTACAGTAGTACAGGAAAAGGGCTCTGCTGCGTGAGGCTGGAGGCAGTGCTGGCAGAGCAGGGCTGTGACTGAAGGTGGTCCCTGACTTAGCAGAGGACGTCAAAGGGCAGCTACAGACAAGCCAGTGTGCAGCATCCCAGCCCCCACCAGCCCAAGCTGCGTATGTCCTCACTCCTCTGCTGCAACAGGTGACGTGTGCATGAGGCAGCCCCTCATTCTCCATCCTGGTTGGGTTTGATAAGCCCGTATTCCACCGCTTTTGCCAGGCAAGCTGCGGCAGCCCTTGTGACGGGGCTTTCCTTGCCCTTAGCCAGCACCGACAGGATCTCCAGCACTTCGCTCTCCATCAGGCTGCTGGCTATGTCTTTTGAGGCCTCCACCATGTTCAGTGCCACCACGGCACCCCGGTGCTGCAGCTCCTGGTTGGAGCTTAGAAGCAAGGCCTGCAGGATCTCCAGCCAGTGCGTGGTCTGCGGGAAACAGGGCAGTGCCACCACCGAGCCACAGGTTCAACCCTGGCAGAAGCACATCTGCGTGCCCTGGGATCCCCCCCACACCCCACCAACCGCCAGCATGCAGGGAGTTCCTGCCCACCTTCCCTCCCGCACCGAGGCACTGACCACTTGGGGGATGCGGCTGCAGAGGGAGGGCCGCATGGAGGTGAGCATGGCCAGGCCCCCAGCAGCTGCCCGCCGCAGCAGCTCGTCGTCCTCCCCGCTATACAGCACCAGCAGCTTCAGCCGGTCGTTGCCCTTGGCTTCAAACAGGTCCTGCACCTGCAGTCAGAAGAGGGGAGGGGACGGAGTCGGCTGGGGCAAAGCCTGGCGGGACACAGGTACTTCTGCATGCCTGCCCATCAGGACCACCCGGACCAGCCCTCACCTCCTTGCTCATAGCCAAATTACACATGCACTCCGTGGCTGCCCGGCGGATCATCTCGTGCTCCTCAAACATATAGCCCTCAATCATGGGCACGGCCTTCTCCTTCAGGATCTTCTGCCTGTAGGGCCAAGGGTGGAAAGGTGAGCCTCCGCATCCACCTCCCCCACCCCAGCGTCCCCACACAATCGAGCCCCAGGCCAAGGATTTCCCAGGGGGTATCCAAAGACCCTCCTGCACGAGGTATGAATGGCACTGCTTTCCAGCTTCTTAAGCAGGCCTGGGGGACAGCATGGGACCGTGGAAAATGCTCTACAGTAGGAGTTAGGAGACCAGGGGGCTGGTGATGGTGATGCTAACAGCTGACATTTAAGCACCTACCCTGACCCCGAACTTGGACTATCTTTCTTAGTCCTCACCACGGCCCTATGGTGTAGGTGCAGGTATGATTATAACTGTTTTGCACAAGAAGAGACCAAGGCTGAGTAGTGGATAACGGAGCCAATATCACAATTAGTAGTAACAGCTGACACATGTTGACTGGGCACGTTGCTGGGAGCCACGTTCTGTGTACTAAGTGCTTTTGCCTGCGTTTTCTCATTTACCTCTCCTTCCTACTACCCCTGTAGTACCTATGGGTACTAGAACCATCCCATTCCCAGAAGGAAAACGGAGGCACAGAGCAGCACTCATTTGAGGTTGAGGTTGCACACCGGTAACCAGTGAAGTCAGGATTTAATAAACCCGGGCAGTCTGACTCTAGAGCTCGCACTGTCGCTGCCCAATGCCTTGCCCACTCGTGGAACGCTGGCCTAGTCAAAACTGGCCTGTCTCCCCAGCTACATAATACACAGAGGTCACCATGAGGCTCAAATAAAGCAATGACCCAAGAGTGCTCTTCACGCTGTCAAGTGCAGTCCTGGGGTAAATGCCCTCCCTGCCCAGGCCCCCCGTCCCGAGGGACCTTACCGGAGCCTCTCACTGATCCCCGCCAGGTTGGTCAGAGCCATGAGTGCCTCGAAGTTCTGCAAGCCTGAGCAGTTGAGGTGCAACAGGGAGACGAGAGGCCGGACCACCTCGTAGATCTGTGATACATCCACCTGTCAGGGCCACTCGCCCCGCCCCCACTGCCCTGAGGGGCAGAGCCCGCCCTCAGAAGGCCACCCTCCCCACACCAGGGCTCAGCAAAGCTGCCACGTCCTGTCAGTCCCAAGGAGGAGCCACAGCCCAGGTCGGAGGCCACCAGGACCCAGTGAGAGGTGAAGGAGAGGCCAGGGCTGGGGCAGCAGGACACATACCCGCTCTCCAGGAAAAGTCATCTCTGGGTTGGAGGTGATGGTGAGCTTGGCAAGAGCCTGGGCAGCCTTTGTCTGCCCCACATCAGTGCCTTCCAGGGCCAGTGGGAGCAGAGCCTGTGGGGACAAGCCCATGAGTGTCCGAGATGTGTCCTAGCAGGTCAGGCCCAAACCACCAGGCCCTGAGCCCTGACTGGGTGCTCGCCTCTCTCCTCCCCCGGGCTTGACCACATTGCTCAGATCTCTTCATGTCTCCCAGGCATCCCCTTAAGCTGCCCAAACACTTCGGGAAACACCTATTAAGGGCCAGCCACGGCTTGTGCTGGGCCCCAGACCATGCAGGTCAGTGACACGAGGGAGAGGAGGAGAACTTGGGACCTGAATGGGCACAAACCTGCCCTCGTCGGCATCACTCACTCGGCAGGAGGATGTTCCTGCCGGTCATTCGTAATGCCTTCCGGCCTCGTCTCCAGTGTGGTGGCCGCTGACTCACGTTTTACAGACCACCAGGAAGGAGCGTGCAAGCTTACCTTGCCCCCTCCCTGAGCAACCACAGTGCCGCGGTCTTCTACATCGTCCACCAAAGCCAGGAAGACCCTGCGGGGAGAGGGTGAAGGTGGGCGGGGGCCGGGGCTCTGGCTCACACCGCACCGTCTGGACTCAGCGAAGGCAGGAAGCTACACGGTGGCCCCTCACTCCCAGAGGCCCACAGCCCCGGGGACCTGCTCCTCTGCAGTTACACGGACCGTCTCGAGGCTTCTGGCTGCGCCGAGGCGGCCTCACCTGGAGA